GTCTGGCAGGCAGCGGCATCACCAGCTTGACTGGTTGATGCAACAATGGTTGGCAAGTGTATATTAGGTAATATTCACTCGGTGACAAAGATCCCCAGAGAAGGTTGATAAACGTACAGTTTTATATGGCGCTTTAGCACGAAATTTGTGATTAGTTTTGTTAGTTATCTGGTGTGTTTCAAATAAGTATCTGTGTGAAAAAACATTTAACTGTGGTGTACTGTGCAATGGTGGGCTGTTTAAGCAACAACAACAAGTAAAGCAATGACGTTTCAAATTGGGGTTTCATTAGTTTTCCCAAGGGCAAAAGTGTTACCAACAACACAAAATTAATGTACAAACCGCTGCGAAAAGTGACTGTTATTTAAGATAATTAACTGTATACCTCAAAATAAATAGAAGTTGAAAAGCTATGCTATTCCCTTAACTTGATGAAATCACCAAAGGCGCAGACTTCTCACAATATACGAATAGAAAAAAGGTTGTAAAATCAGGACATAAAATAAAATATATACATAAATATATTATATATTTATAATAAAGCCTTCTATTATTTTAGTGGCTTTGATCCTGCTGAGCGCATGTACAATTCTCGAAGCTGAAAATACACGTTTAGAGCAGGTACAAAGAAAAATGATGGAAATTTTAAAATAAACTCAATAAAAGTGTTTGCCAATACAAGATACTTTTATTAAGACCTACCCACAAAAAGATTGAAAAGCCATTTTATACAAAATTATAAAGATGTATATACTGTCTCCATCCTTTTTCTGTATATAAAGTTAATACAACAAATTAATATGTCACAATTGTAATTCAAAACCAATTTACTTCAATAATAAAAAGTAAGTCCCTTTAGTTGGAGCTCTAAAGAAAATTTGGTTTGTAAAGCTACAGTAATTAAGTCTCAAGTTATAAAGAACCTTTCAACTTGTCTGTTGTTATTTTTTTCACGTAATAACCTTATGATCGCACTGTATTCTGTCTTTAATTCTTAAGTCTTCATTCAACTGTTTTGGCAAAACATCAAAATATAAATAAATCATTCAATATACTAAAATTATCATGTAAAATCGATAACACAATAAAATGTTAAGCAAATGTTCAAAAGAAAACGCTCTAATACAACTTCATATCGACGAGCCGAACATTTGTCACCGAGTGATGCAATGTGCAAAAAGGTACGAAATTCGATCGCAAAGTGGACATAACTTCTCGAGTTATAGTATCATGGGTAATATTTAGGTTAAGACTTAATTTTAATCTTCCCCTGAAGATGCCTACAAAACGAAACACGTACCAGATGTGTGTGTACAATAAAATATGTGTAAAGCTCTGTAGTGATTTAACTCACTATTTTTATATGACCGCATGGTCGCAATGCATCCCCGTAATAAAAAAAAAGTGAATTCTCATCGTGATAGTGTATTCAGTTGTGCCAGCCTTTGTTTTCATTGTCAGCGTAGTGACGCAACACTTTCATTTCTATAATATGGTGTGTCTCTGCGTTTCATTATATCGGGTGCAGCAGCATAATTTCCTTTTTTAAAATGCATGCAATTCAGTCGGTTGATGTCACAGCGCAGCGCCAATGGTCTCTTCCGAGAGGCGGACTATAAAGTTTTGTCCCAACACAGTTCAGTCGCCATCATTTGATGAAACAGTGAGGAACGTGCTTTTGCCATTAAGGCCTTACTTTTCGAGTGGATGTTCTGGGATCGCAACCAGCCTTTCGGGATCGTTTTGATTTAGCCCCGTTGGTCGCTGTCCCGGACCGGAAATCAATTGTTACGTGGGTCACTACGTTCAGAAAAACTGCAAGTGCGACAAAACGAAGAAATGGAGTCCTTCGGCTCATTATATCACCTGAAAGCAGTGAGAGCTTCAAAAATTTCCATCCTTACAATATGGCAATTGGAACAGGAACTTTCTGAACGTGACTTCAATTCTCGGTTGAACGCGTGTGAGCGTCTTCTCGAAGTCGTTCCTGAGGACGCTATTGTTTTTTTTAGTGATGAGGCCCATTTTCATTTGTGTCAACAAAACACAGCTACTGGGCTGACACCAATCATCGAGAATCGCATTGCAAGTCCTTACATTCGCCTAAATTCACAGTGAGCTGTGCAATTTCCTCATCAGGAATTACTGATCGCTGGTTCTTTGACTTCCCAGAGCGCGTCATCTCAATTAGGAGCAATTTGGCGCCTTGTGATTTTTTTATAGGGTGCTTTGAAATCTCGTGTTCATGTGAACCGTCTAAGGATCTTACAAGCTTTGAGGACCAACATCCAAGAAGAAATTACCAACATAGTGCCTGCTATGCTGGCAAGTGTTATGACAAACACCTGAAATCGGTTTACTCAGGGGGATGGCACCTAACTGATTTGATCCTCAAAACTATGAAAAAAACCTTAGGCATCTTCTGATTGATACAAAAGGTTTCATGTTTTGAAAAAAGGTAGTTATGCTGCCGCACCCTGTAGATTTGGAGTAGGAAGGGTTCTGACCAATTTGATTAAAATGCCAAAAAATGCAAGTCTTAGGCTTTAAAGGAAGAAACAAGTAGTAAAAATAATTTAAATGCAAAAATTGCCATCAGCTTAAGATCGAGTTACTGCCAGGGCTGAAAAACTCCCTTACACACCCTGATAAAAATAAATGCTGTCTTTTCTTTGTAAATTTCATCTACAGAAGCAACCTAGAAGGCAAAGTCTAAACACCCAAACACCACGAATACTATAAAAAGCTTCAGAATATCTTATTGATCCGATTTTTAACCTGTCTAAAAGTTGGCAGGATTGAAGCACTACAGTACCAAATAATTCTCCATCTACAGAGTTCGAATAAGTTGCGGACACCTGTCCAGCATGTGACAAAAAGTTTGTTGGCATATATGTAGAGGAGCTAATGATACCTATATGCCACTATAGTTATAAGTTCGAGAACTGACAAATTTTATAAAAAAACAAAGGTGAGATGATTAAAACTTGAATTTGTCACTCCACCAATATAAAAAATAGAGGTGCCGTTTATTATTTATCTGAGCACGACGTATTGGAATATTCTTATTAATCTGATCATATTAGCAAATTTCCCCGAAATAATTGTGAAGTCTGGTTTTATTGGTGCAAGTTATCCAAGGGGGTATTTAAAATATGAACGCGTAAAATGGATACACCAATTTTTGTGGAAAAACTTTTTATTCGACTACAAAGATGAGAAAACGTGTTTTTGGGATTCAAGTGTTGACAGGAACGAAACAACTTTTCAAATAAGATTTTAGGTATTTATGAAACCTACAAAATGAGACCACACGTAAAAAGATTCGACTAATAGCAAACATGTGATGGCCGGAAAACGAGGCAAAATGCAGGTTTTACACTTGTTGGTCATGCGACGATAATTTCAGGCAACTACTTGAAATTCTTCAAATCCGTACGTAGGATTCATACTCCTAAATAACAACAACAAAAGTAATTTTTGATAATTTCTAATTGTTTATCTCAAAACACCTGTTTTCCGGCCATCACTGCTAGTTTATTGAGCAATATACAGGGTTCGTTCAAAAAACATTTAATAGCAAAATACACGTGTTTACCTTGCCGATATGAATCACAAACCATTCCGAAAGATAAATGTTATTTTCATGCGAACAAAGGTTACGTTTTGTTCTTCTAAACAAATTCAAACATTTCGTATTTGTGAACAATTCGCAACAAGATTATAGACATATCCGCTTTGTTTTAAAATGTGTATAATAATTTATGTTTTTCGAATATCGTAGCCCATTTGTTCAATTACTCACAAATATGAAATGTTTGAATCTGTTTAGAAGAAAACACGTAACCCATCCTTTTTGCATAAAACCTTCCAGAATACTTTGCAATTCATATCGGCAAGGTAAACTAGTGTATTTTGCTATAAAATACCCTTTGAACTAACCGTGTATATAGCTCAATAACTAGTAGTGATGGTCGGAAAAACAGGTGTTTTGGGATAAACAATTAGAAATTCTCAAAAACTACTTGACCAATCTACTTCAATTTTGTTGTGGTTATTCAGAAGTATGAATCCTACGAATTCGAAGAAAAACAAGTGCCACAACCTGCAGTTTTCCTCGGTTTTCGGCCATTACTTTTTTGCTATCAGTTGCATCTTTTTACGTGTGGTCTCATAGATACCTAAAAATCTTATATGAAGGGTTTTTTTGTCCATGTTTTCTCATTCTTTGTTGTCGAATAAAAAGTTTTCCCACAAAAATTGGTGTCCCCATTTTAAATACCCCCTTGAACAACTTGCAGCAATGAAACCAGACTTGACAATTATTTAGCAAACCAGGGGTATTTTCGTCTAATATGATTAGACTATATGGACAAATCAGCTATATGTTACTTTATTTCACACAATACTTTGCTTACCACTACTGGAGTGCATTACCAGTGGTGTAACGAATGTAAATTTTTAGGTTTTATAGCTGCCGATGATTTACGCGAATACGAATATTCAGTTTTTCGTCTTTAATACCACATCGAAACGTTATTAATATTTATTTTTGAAGTTTGATATTGGCTAGTTCAGTTGGATTATCATACACATATTATTGTCAAAAAAATACGAAAAAGGAAATAGTACGTATTTCTAACGGGGAATTTAAAAAAACATTATTTGTATTTTATTTGTAAAATCTTATAAAAGACTTTATTTGAAATATATATTTCATCAGTTTTCTAATGAAAAATACCTGATTATTCATAAATCTAAGGGAAAAAAACGTATGTGAAGAATAACGTTTCTGTTTGTTCATTACGAAATGCATTTAGTAATAAAATAAACTGATATTTTTTTATTCATTTGGCTATCATTTTCATATTCTCTTTTTCTGATATTCATATTCGCAAAACATTCGCATGGATATTTGTGAATACGAATATTCGTTACATCACTTGTAACGAAGCAAAATGTAAAATTTTTCAATTTCCAAAAATGAAATATGAAATATTGCATCTATTCAGAGTGGCATTCAGATCTATTCAAGTATTGGGTAAACGAACTTGTGTATATGTATGTGATTCGACAAAAAAAAATAAAAAAAGAAGATAAAATAAATTGATCGGACAAAAAATATAAAGGATGACGGTCTATAGGCGGTGTTTTCATTCCTTAAAAAAACTCAAGTTTCAAGTTGATCGCATTGATAAAAATTTTACGTTTATATACGTTAAAACATGTATTTTACTTTACTCGTTCATCAACATTTTTATTTTATTGTGTACTTGATCGTTTTTTTAAAGCTCAATTTTTGCATGGCTAAAATTCATCCAATTTCGAAAATTCAATTACGTATTTTTATATTAATGCATGGTCGCAACACTTTCTACTTCAAATCTATAATTAATCACGAAGAAAGAACATGTATAAAAATGAAAGTGTTGCTCCACTGCACCCACAATCCAAACAAAAGTTGAAGCAAATCAATACACAATTAGAATGATATTTCAACTTTCTAATGTAAGCGCGGTGGAGCAACACTTATTTTGTATCTAGTGTGTTTATTATATATTTGAAGTAAAAAAAGTTGCGACCAAGCACTCATATAAAAATACGAAGTTAAATACTCTAAAATGTGAATTTTGAAAAAATGCCGAATTTGCTAAATTTGAACTTGTAAAAAACAATCAGGTACTATAAAATAAAAAGAAAATGTTGACGAAAATTATAAAAACACATTCTAGAATGTGTAAATACAAAAATTTCGTAGATACGATCAACTTGAAATTTGACCTATTTGCATGGATGAAAACACTGCTTATAGACGACAAGTATTAGGTATGTTTGCACGATTTAACAAAAATTACAACATAGAGGGGGATAAAACAAATTGATCAAGAAAAAAATATAAATTTCATGTAAGTCCAATGTTCCTAGATGAGGTAACTAGATATTATGCTCTATTTCTAAAATACTAGTTACAGAATGGATATTAGACATGCCAGTGCCTATTCATTATACACCCACCATTCTTTTTCATACCCTTCGTGTACATGTTCTAGTAACACTTTCCTTCGACTGTCACAATATCTGAAAAGAAATAATCCAAATTTCAAACGTCCTGTTCAGAAATTACAAAAATGAATTGATAAATGGCAAGCTGAAATTCTTAATTATTCATTACGTCAGCGTGAGAGCAAATAACTGAGTTTCACCTGAGCTTCACCAGATTGATCATCATCAAAACGTAATGAAAAACATACTATATACAGGGTGGTGTTCCTTAATGATGTGCGAATATTTAAGGGTGTGAATCTACATGAAAAATTAATGTTAGTTTGCTTTATAAACTATGGTCCAAAAATGTTTCCTTACAAAAACTCGGGGTGTTGAAGTTTTAGAAAAAAAAATGGAAATTAATTAATATTTTCAGAACCGCTTCAGATATTTCACTGATATTTAGAACATAGTGAAAGTAAACAAAGTTACATATTTTTCAATGCAAAACTAATTTTTAGCTTTAACAGTGGCGTACGTACGGATATTGACTTCGATATTTTTCAAGAAAAAAATGGTACGCCAATGGTTTTTTGCGAAATAAAAACTATTTTTGTATTCCCCGTTCAATTTAAAACAAATGATCTCTCTTGAATTGTTTTCCTTCGATGCGCCATTTTTGAGTAAAAAAATAAAAACCGTTCTATTGTCTAACTTGCAAAATTATTATTAATTTAATTGGAAAAATTAAGCACATTAGGGGTAATGAACAACAACAACCGACATAATAAACATAACATTAAAACCAACGAAATGATTACAAAAATTGTTGAAAATTTCCCCCTTCACTTAGTATGCATGCTTCCGCTCTCCTTCTCATGGAATTGAGCACTCGTTGAAATATCCCTGGAGTGTTTTTTATTCTATCACAAGCTGCAACTATTCTTTCTCTTAATTCCTCAACAGTGTTAATGGGACTTGTGTACACTACTGTCTTAAGATAGTCCCACAAAAAGAAATCTAAACTGTTGAGGTCTGGAGACCTTTTTGGCCATTCTTGGGGCCCACCGCGGCCAATCCAGCGATTTGGATAAACAGTTTGTAAATAATTACGAGCCGCTACACTGAAATGAGCTGGTGCTCCATCATGCATGTACCACATATTGTTTCTTATTACTAACGGAACATCATCAAGCAGCAAAGGCAACTGTTGTTGAGGAAAATTGAGGTAAGTATGTCAGTCAAGTTGCCCCGGCAAGAAGAATGGGCCAATAAAGTGGTTGCCAATAATTCGTGCCCATACGTTAACCGAAAATTGGTGTTGGAAATGGGTTTCGGTTACGGCATAGGGATTTTCGTCTCCCCACAAATGATTATTTTGGAAATTCTGAATGGCATTTCGAGAAAAATTAGCTTCGTCCGTGAACAGAATCATTGATTCAAATTGCGGATTTTGTGTAATTTTTTGAAGATACCACTGACAAAAGGTCATACGCCTTGGAAAATCAATGAGAAGTAGTGCCTGTACTCTTAAAATATGGTAAGGATATAACAAAAAATCCACTAAAATTCTCCAAACAATTTGATGGCAAATATTTATTAAGTGTCTAGCGATCTCCCTCGTACTCTTTTCAGGATGTTCCTCGACTTCGTGTAGCACTGCTTCCTCAATTTGTTCTCACACTTAGAGGTCTACCTTCAGGTGTTCCTTTTCAGACAGAAACAGTTTCAACAAGACGACGATGAATATTAGAAAAGGTTCGACTATCTGGCAAAGCACGGTCGGGATAACTCTGGTGATAAATCCGTCTGGCTTGCTCACCATTACCGTTGGCAAGGCCATATACGTAATGCATTTCCGTCATTTCTGCATTTGAATAACTCACCATTATTAACAAGAACTAAATAATGAAAAAGATGTCACAGCGAACAGATTTGAATAACAGAAACTTGTCAGATGTCAACAGCCAGTGACATACTCCAGAGCAACTAGATATTTATTGCTAAATTGCATTCTTCAATTATTACATTAATTTTCGCGGACAATAGAACGGTTTTTATTTGTTTACTCAAAAATGGCGCATCGAAGGAAAACAATTCACGAGAGATCATTTAATTTAACTTGATCGGGGAATTCAAAAATAATTTTTATTTGGCAAAGAACCATTGGCGTGCCTTTTTTTTCTTAAAAAATATCGAAGTCAATACCCGTAGGCACGCCACTGTTAAAGCTAAAAATTATTTTTGCATTGAAAAATATGCAACTTTATTAACTTTCACTACGTACTAAATATCAGTGAAATATCTGAAGCAGTTCTGAAAATATTAATCAATTTCCATTTTTTTCCTAAAACTTCAACACCCCGAGTTTTTGTAAGGAAACATTTTTGGACCATAGTTCATAAAGCAAACTAACATTAATTTTTCATGTAGATTTACACACCCTGTATATTTTTTATGGTGTTTCGAAAGATTTTCATTCAACTGGTCATGAATACTCACCTATATTTATCTTGAACTTTTTGCTTAATATCAGCAAGGTTTTCAGACGTAATATCCCTCTCCAAATATTCGGAAAGTGTTTCTGTCGCACTCTCCAGATCTTTTTGGTTATCTTCAAAAATCACAGACTGGTTATTTTTTCGCAAGTAATATGCAAATACGTAAGTATACATGAGAGTTTGTCTACACTGGCAGAGTATATCAACAGCTCTCTTCAAGAATTGCACTTCTATCCAACTCATATTGTGCTGCTGCATCTCTTCCATTTTTTCTTTCACAGAAGCATAGAGTTTATGCTCAAATTTCAGTGAAGCCATATGATTCATGTACCTGTAATAAAGATTATTTTACTTTCACAATGAGCATTGATTATTACCTGAATATAACCAACCCAATACTATATTCCCACGCCCAAAAAAATATCCGAGATGAAACTGAGTATAGAGTGTATGATGTGCGAAATATGTCTAATAGGTGCATAGAATTACTAAGGTTGAGAACATAACCCTAACCATCCTTACAACACCCACTGCCTAATTTTTTGATTCTAAAAATTTTTCCAAAAATTATGAGGCGATTTTTTTTTCGTTTTGACCTTTTTCTCCGCCGCCACTGAACCGGTTTTCAAAAACTACAAAGCTGTTTGTCCTTGCCATAGTAGTAGCATTATGTAAAAATGTTATCAGAATCTGAGCGCTATTTCTAAAGTTATAGGTGGTCATAGATTTCAGACATACAGACCGACAGACAGACGGAAATGAGTGGCATGGTTTTTCGTGATGTACATGTCATACAGGGTTTCACAAGTCATGGCCAAAAATAAAACATCATACACAGGACCACATCTTAAGGGGGGGTCTTCTATGTAACGTTTTTTCCTCGAGGGCTTCATTAAAAAGATACTGATCGTTGAAGTTTAAAATTATAAGATAATATTTTTTTTTAATATCTTCAAAAGCGTCAACAAGAATGAACTAAAATTTGGTAAGTGGATTTGCCTAAGAATTGTCCACATTCTTACTTGAAATTAATGTGCACCGGTGGCGGAGATACAGGGGATTAGATTAATTTGTTTTTTTTTATTTTTACGAAAACAATGCACTCTAAGAAAAAAGTCAAGAGTAATTATTTGTAGAAAATTGAAGGAAAAATTCGAAAAAATGCCCGGTTCGAAAAAAACAGTGGGGTACTGTTTTTATTTGGAAAATAATGCCATTTATCCGCTGTATCTCCGCCACTGGTGCACGTTAAGTAAAGACTTTTGAATGTGGACAATACTTAGGGAAATCCTCATACCAAATTTTAATTCATTCCAGTTGACGGTTTTGAAGATATCATTTATTTTTAAACTTCTCCCCGTATCTCTTTAATAAAGCCTTTGAGGAAAAAATGGTCACGACTTGTGAATCACCCTGTATAACATCCAAAAAACAATATCCCATTTTCAACAACATGGGTCAGTAGGCGTGGGAAGTAAAACCATTAGTGGCTGTCCATATAATGAATGCAGTTACGATCCTTAGAAAAAAATCCAGACTTTGATTTTATGACCTTTTGGAAACCTTGGTACATACCGATTGCAGTAGAACAAATAACGCTGTAACGCCGATCGAGACTTTTCTTGGGCGTCACGAGCAGCTTTTGCTTCATCCTCATCATATCTGTTGCAATTGTACCATGAACTACCATGTGGCTCCCAAGGTCCTAAACACACCCAACAGAAGTCTGTTTTACAATTCTGGTTTTTGCATACCATATGGTTACAACCGCCGTCTTTTTCAATAGTCACATTGCACCTGGAATATGAAAAACAAAATGCAAACTTATACGTATAGATATAGTCTATTTCACGAGTATCCATTACGGTAGAATGACAGCTAATTATCTAGAAATATTGCAAAATTCCCCACATCCGCAAAGGACACATAATTCTGACGGATCCGTCAACGTCTCAATACACGTCAAGGCGTGATGGATACTCGTGAAATAGGGTATAGATGCGGCATTAAGGAGGGCTTCGCAGGGTACCTATTTGATGTTGGGAAACAATTGAATTTTAAACAGACAACTATATTTTGATACCGAACCTAATTGTGTAATCTCCCGCATAGGGCCCCTAAGGTTTCATGAATAACTTCTGTTCTAATAAAGTTATAAATCACTCCTTTAGGAGTGCTTTTTAACACATTCGGTGCAACCATATATTTTGAAAATTTTCCTGTGTGCTAACATTTTTTGTCATCAAAATGAACTCGGAGACTATTTAGGAGAACGACTATACTGAGTGACAAAAAACACATTCACCACGTCGCTTTCTCACTCTTGCCCGACCATCGTGCATCCCCAGACAGAAGCGGAACTCGTCAGTAAAGACCACCTGATTCCATTCCCGGTTAAATAGAATTCTTTCTTTGGGGGTTACGCCGATGTTCAGCTGTGAGAGGTAGCACCCAAAGTGGTCGATAAGAAAAAGGCCAAACTTTCGTATTAGGCGATATACCGTACGCATACCAACCATCCTTCCATGCTCTTCAAACCACTGCTCGCTGTCCTCGGCCTTCATGAGTCCACGCTCGTTAAGACTGCGTAAGGATATGTTGGTACTTCTAGAAACTTCTCGTATCCATAGACCGGCTTTACGCAACCCGACAATTCGATCCCTCTCAAAGTAACTTAGCTGGGACACCCGGCAAAGTCTACGCACTCTAGGCATTTTGAGCAATCACAAACAGGCTTCTCAATAAGCTACACGAAATTTAACATTCAACTGACACCGTAAATGTACGAAAAATGAATGCTCCTCTATCACCAAACAATACACGCAGCCACCACAAAAACACTTGACAGAAAAACCTGACCATTTTATCACTTGTTGTTCAGGGCAAGATAAATCGATATATAAAAAATTCTTGAATTGTAATAAACATACGTAGATGTTAACCTTTTTTTGTCACTCAGTATATACTATTTTGAGCTGTAAAAATTTTATGGATTTCCACTGAAAGGGACAATTTTCACAGGGATACTGGCGGTGCGGCACGGAACCGCGTCGTCAGCAGTGAACGTGTGCAAAAGTATCATTCATAACATAATAACAGCAGTTGTTTGTAAAACCTGTCAGTTATCCCCTAGCTAATCAGCTTTTAGTGCCCTACGGACAATATTACATGATTTTTGTCTGGTATCAAAGGATAACTGTCACTTTGATATTCAAATTGTTCTCGTCCTCAATACTCTGTGAAGCCTTTGGTACAGAACAATTACCTAGGACATTCTTTGGTATTTGCAGCAATCCAGTTGCTAGTTTCTGAGTCATCATCACATTTTTTGATCCATTTTTTCAATAAATGACATTTAACTGGATCATGCCAATTTTCTCCGCAAGCAAAGCAGAATGTGTGGTTACATTTACATGTGACTTTGTGCGATTCTACATACTGGACCTTTATCGCATTACTACAATCTGGTGAAGGACACCATCTAAGTAATCGATTACACTGAAAAAAAAAGTGAAATATTAAAAAATGTATGAGATTGCAAAAGAGGTGTATTTACAGTGATTATGGGCTCTTCATACTTCCAAGAGTGAGCAGATTTAGACAGACACTTTCTGCCCTAGATGCCCCTCAGCCCACCATTTGTTTTCAATAAATTGGTACATACTGCTGTATCTTATTATCTAGATGTATCCCCCCCCCCCTCCCAAAGTTCTTCAGTTATAACAAGGCATTCAGTTTCAGAAGCACTTCTTAAGCATGAACATGAATCCTGCACCCCCCCAGACAGATTCCTAAATCTAAGCACAAAACAAAAGTCTTGTATCTTCAGTAGAATTGAACAATCAACACAGTTATGGCTCATCACATGGAAGGCCACAGAATTTTGGTCTAGGAGCTATAATTTCATACTGAACTTGTACATTACCTCCACAAAACTATTTGTAATAAGATGTTGATATTTGAGCCTAACTTTAGAGTCTCTAACTAATCTCATAACACTAGCATCATCCACTAAAATGTCACAACCATGTGCTGCACAAGCAATTGTTTGTCCTACACCTTCTTCCATTATTTTTGTTGTTAAGTATTCACACCAGCAATGTGTACAAAATCGATGCCCACACTCCAAACCAGTCATATGCTAAAAAAAAGGAGATGAAACATTTTTAAAACAAAGTATAATAGATGTTGACAAAGCAAAATCCAAGATGAAAACAAATGATGCAATTATACTTACAGATGATGGTAACACCATAAAACAGATCTCACATTCCTCTGTACCATTCATGGGTTTTTTCTGGGGCTGGAAAGGATACAATGATTCAAAATAAGAGGCACTTTTAGGTTTTTTCCTAAGAACAAGCAACAATAGTGACACAGTTTGATAATTGGTATAAAAATCTTGATACACTAGGAGTAAAGATGAGTTTGTTTTCATTGATAGAACTAGACCACATTATAATGCAAAAGAGAAGTCTGGCAAACTAATCTAGCCAGGCTGGAATGGGGCAGTATCATTCAGGAGAATGGCCAAAATAGATTTCATTTGATAATCTCTATCAATCTACAAAAACAATTCAACTTTCTGTGAAAAGTTGACATTAATTTTCTTTACACTAGTTTTTTCCAATAAAATATTTTTCCATGAAATATTCTATATTATTTCCAAAGAGTTTTAGATGTGCCAAAATTTCTTGTTTACACATCAAAAAATAAATAAAAACAAACTATGAAAATTTTATAAAGGAATAGATACAAGTACCCTAAAGCCTTACCTCTTTAGGTTAAACAAATTTCTATGACAATTTTTAGTTATCAGTTTTTAAAAATGCATATCAAAATAAATATTCAAAACAATGTGTCTTCCATAAAGCCAAAAGTAATGGACATTTGGTGTCTATCACTACAATTACAGAGCTTCATAGAAACAATCATGCTTTATAGTAAAATTCTTTTATAATGATATAAACTATAATAAAATTAAATGTCTGCCATTTTAGTATAATAAATAATATAAGCTACCAAGTCATATTATTATTTATACATACAGTAATGGACAAAAGTATATAGACAAATTAATATTGTGCTCTATTTCTTTAATAACTTGTTTTATTAATACACCAACCTATATACATAAATCGTTATAGCATATTACTCACTTATACATACATAAATTCATTAGACTCCCTTCATTAAAAAATTGAACTATGAAGGACAAAAATATATAGACAAAGCAAAACAATTATAGAAAAAAGAAGCAAAGTTATTGAATTATAGAAAACCAACCATGTTTGTGTTAATATTTGTAGCATAACCATTACTATCAATCACCGCCTGGCATTGTCTCAGCATAGATTGTAGAAGTTTCTTGATATAAGATTCATCAATCTGTCTCCACGTTTGCTCTAAAGCGGCAAAAAGTTCATCCTTGTTTAAATAATTTTTATCTCGTATTTGCTTATCTAAGTATTCCCATAGATTTTCAATGGAGTTTATATCAGGAGACTGTGAAGGCCATTTGAGAACTGGTATTTTTTCATCCAGAAAGAATTTCTTTGCGAGATTTGAAGTGTGGTTTGGGTCATTATATTGCTGGAAGATTGATCTTAAGGGTATATTGTCTTCCATATAAGGTAACATGACATGTTTTAGTATGTCTGTGTATACAAACTTATCCATAATGCCATCTATTCTATGTAAAGGTGCCATCCCAAACCCCGAAAAACACCCCCAAACCATAACAGACCCGCCTCCATGTTTGACAGTGGGCAAAGTGTACTTGGGGTTCAATCTTTGTCCACTAGTACGTCTAACGTAATGAACACCACGTGGTCCAAACATATTGAACTTGGATTCGTCACTGAAACATACCCTCTTCCAGTCACAGATGCTCCAATCAACATGCAACGGTGCAAATTGTAATCGGTCCTTACGGTTTTTCCTCGCGATTAGAGGCTTCTTACTCGGGCGACGTGCAAATAACTTCAAATCATTTAATCTTCTACTTATAGTTTTCATAGAAACACTAGCAATTCTTTTTTCTCGATTTTTTCTTTTATTTGTCTTGGGGTTTTAAACGGATCTTTGGACGAAATTACTTTTATTAATGTAACTGATCTATCATTTAGTTTTCTAGGCCGACCACTTCTCTTAGAGGCTTCCAAGATACCTTTTTGTTTATATGTGTTCAGTATTGCCCAAACTGCTGTATGCTTCAGCTTAAAATTTTTGGCAATGTTGACTTGGTGTTGACCATCTTTGTATAACTCAATGATCTTCACATCGAAACAAATTTCTGGACCACAAGGCATGGTCTTAAAATCACTCAACCTATTCCACAATACTTGATGAACACAAACTAATCCTCTTCTTACATGAAACTGTACTAAACTAATGTTAAAAAGAATTTGTCTATATATTTTTGTCCCTCATAAAAAAGTGCTTATATTCAGACTTGTATTGTGTTCATTGCAGATAATTTAAAAACAAGGAATTTAGTTTTTCTACTAATAACGCATTTTTTTATGGAGCAGTGAAGTATGAATTCGTTTTCTAAAGGTATTTAGGTAAATATTCATATTTGTCTATATACTTTTGTCCATTACTGTATGTATTGTGCTTAATGAGAGAAATAATTCACAATGGCTAAAGCATTTTGTTTTTCCATGACAGTTTATCAAGGACAAATACACCTTTTCTATGTTAAAATTCCATATTCCATCTATAACAAAAAACAAAAAATATTATATGGAATATCTATTTATGGTTTACACTTACTTTTCCTCGATATTCGAATATCTTATGAAAAATTGCACAATTCAAGAAAATGTTTTTATTTTGATTGTCTAAATTTTTATTATATGGTCACTACTGTGATATCATTGTACTTTAGGCAAATAAAGAAATGAAAATATGGTTGATATACCTTTGCCTTGTAACTGATGTTTAAGTCTTTAAACGGGTTGATAACCCGAGCTTCTGAAAACAGCTGATCTTGGTCTCCATCATAATACCTTTCCATCAATTTCTCCTTATCCCATCTAAAGTGATTCAACAATATACGAGTAGTCGTCGCGGGGATCTAGAAGAAAAGGTGTTGATACTTTCCCTGAAGGTTGAGATCATTGCACTTTAAATGCGTCTCAAATATACGTACCTCCACTACAGAATTCACTTCTTTTATAGAGTCCACCATGTGCTGCACTATTTCCTCCGTACTGAGAACCTCGAAGGGATAATCATCTGAATCTGTTTGTTTTTCTCTGTGACTAGTAACTTCAACATCCATAGCAAAATCAACGTCGTCTCCACTGGACTCATTCCCAGAATCAACGTCATCGTAGGTCTCATCTTCAGAATCCATAATAACGTAGAATGAACCAGTTCAAAATATATAATGATTGTAAAATTATTTAAAGGTCTGTAAACTTTTTACGGGGAACAAAACAATACATAAATAATAGAATTTGCCCACACTACTGTGGTACATGTTTTTCACCAAATGAATAAAGCGAATAGTGATGTCACATACGATATTCAGATCCACGACATCGACCTGAAAGGGATGAAATCTTTCGATATCCTATAGAAATACAATAAATAAAACACATAGCCAGCAATATAAATACTCATAGTGCATAGGTTTCACTGCACGTGATGTTTTCATGTTTTAATAAATCAGATACCCCTATCAGATACTTGAAATGAACAAAATCTATCCAAAAATGCAGCAAAAAAATATCGAATAAATACTATTACATCCCATCACTACGATTGTTTATTATGACATGACACGTGACAATAATGACAGTTATGACCATGGAACACACAGAACTTATGATTGAGAATAAATTATGCGGGGATAGGAGATAACACTTTAAGCAAATGACTGGCTTGCTGGTAGTTGACAGATTGTGTGCAATCCTCCAACCAACATCAGGATGTTTGGTCATCTGATCATTGAACTACGCTCCATGGACTAAATCTTCATTATCCTTTATCAAGCAGTTGTTGATTTATATTCACGTCATTTTCAATTATTGCAGCAAGCGTTTTATTGTGAACCCCCCACCGAGTTTTATGTTCTAAAGCCGATCACAACCATATTTTTGATGATTTTTGAACCACGCTATGGTACTCTGACTCTGTAGGGTTTGTGTTCTAGTACAAGTCCGTTGACCTTGTGGCTGACCTACATGCCATTTGCTATCATGTGCGTAGCTAAGGGGGGATTACTCTCCTACACCCATGGCTGAAGCTGATTCCAAAAAGCAATTGCTTATTGAGAGTGGATTTTTGTATTGAGTATTGTTAGGAGGAAAAAATCAGGGCTTTTGTGTCACACATCGCCGTCTGTCGAAAAAATGATATTTTTGTATTGCGTGTGCATACACAACACAGGTTTTTTCAGAGCATCTTTACCTGGAAAATATTGATTTTTTCATTAGAACTTGTACAAGGAGCATAGATACTACTCACTCTACAAGCTCCTTTGCAACCATTCTGGAAACTCCTATTCCAATTCTTATTTATGAGCTTGTGAGTATTTTTCCGTTTAACCCATGTGCTTGAAACGTCATCACCTAACATTTTAATTCAATATTTAGTTGAACGCAGACGAGCTTTCCTAATTGATTGTCCCGTGATGCGGTAATGACGGCGATCTAATAGTTTGTACCAATATGTACAAAAACAAATACAGGGAAACCGGATTTAGGGATGCGCGTACATAATTATAGTCAACATAAATCTACGTCCCGACTGCCTAAATTTACGTACCTATATGTATATGATTGGTATGTGGCATAAAAGTTCATAGACTACGACATGGTATTCATTTTTATAGCTTTTTTTTTCTAGTTCTTTTTCGGTAAAAATCTGGAAGTATCTGAATTGTGTTAAAAACTCGTACAAAATGATGACGTTTTCGGGTTTTCGGTAAATAAGATCTCATTTCGGTAGAAATACCGAAAAATCGGTAGGTTCGACACTGATTGTTGGTGAATTCTGAATTCTAATTGAAAGTTTATATAACTTCTTGATTAAAATTAAAAGCTTAAAACCTTACTGCACTGCATGAATCTCGCAAATGTCAAATTTAATATTATTTGTTGTTTGATTACACCCCTGCAGTGTATTTGACTATACATGTGTGAAAATTGCTGCGGATGGTGCCATCTATTTAATGATATTTGTACTATGCTCGTCGATGAAGTCGCTAAAATTCAGTTATTTTTTAACGGCTTTTTATGGTGAATGAGCTACCCCTCTCCCAAACGGTAGTGCTGGCTACGCCCATGTTTGCGACAATCCCAGTTATTTTTGAATTACTCTCTGCTACTCTATAACTAAATCGACTACACTATATGGCACTTTGTTCACTGTATTTATGGGTTCCTATTAAAATGAAATAATTGCCCAACAGTGATAAAGGTATTCCTGCCTAACCTAAGTCAATATAAAATATCATTCACCATTGACGCAGGCGTGGGGCTAAAGCCAGCGACAACTTATAATACAAATTTTCCACGTTGACTATTATTTAATAAGCATCTCTAAATCAAAGTAGATATGTATACTACAAAATACCACGAAAAATATCTACCCATTAAATGTTTTATGCAAAACCAAGGAAAATCATGAAAATGGTAATTGAATGATTTTCCTTTCACCATACCCATGCAGTTCCAGTGGCGTAACTAGGGGGTAGGGGTGGTGTAATTCCTACAGAGGGCGCTGTAGAAGAAATGATAGGCAGTTAGTAGAGGGGCCAAACTTGATAATAAGAGAGAAACTCTGTTGAAAATGTATTCAATATAGATATCTTTAGAAAAAATTACAACAATTAAAATTATATTGAATCTCGTTTGCAAAGAATATTTTTGCTAGTACCTATGGATTGAGCCATAATACCCCTCTATAAGATAATTATTAACGATGCATGTAGTACTCTATGTAATTTTAATCTCAGTAGCTTAAGTTAGCCTATCTGAAAATTACACTCTTGTTCAAAAGTCAGCCGCTCATCTGTAACCTTGACAGTGGGTGTAACACACAGTTACTTAATTGCTATCATAATTACGTACCTTAGAAGAGGGGGAACTAAGTCAAATACCAACCTATTTGACGTGGCTTTTATGTTACACATGTAAATACAGCTTCTTCCGCGAGATATGGTAGATAAGATAAACATTATGCTTATTGAATTTTTTATTGTCATTATTTCCCCGCGCATGCCCTGGCAGCCATCTTGAGAATCAATCAAACCTACCTACTCATCAATTAATGCATTAATTATTTATAAGGGGATTGACCGTAGGTGGTACCCCCTGATTGAGTATATTGATTACTTTCCTATTGTTTTTGTCTACTAGGAGTAAAAACCTGTTCCAAATGTTGTCAGACCACTAGAGAAATATCCAGTCGTTCTGCAGTTTTAAAGACAGGAAATAAGAGCTTAAGCTTAACCTTGAACTGCAGCAAAGCTCAAATTTGAACTTTTCTAGTTCTAAGTTTTCCTACTACATATCGTACATAAGGATCATTTTAGCACGTCGATTTGAAAAAAGTAACCCGTATGACTCTGGAATTTTTGATTTCGTCAATGGGACACTGGTGCTTCTATACAAAATTTTATACGTTTTGTGAAAAATTTGTGATATAACGTTGGGGGTTATATAAATTTTCCAAAAATAATAGACTGGGTGAATTTTTTCAGATAAGCACATCCTTGAAAATACAGTTAAACTAGCGAGACCTTGGAAACACTGTACATAGTCTCGGGCAGGGTAGCGCGACGTCATCAGTGCCGTGTCGTCACTGAGAAGTAACAACTCATTCTAGGAATATGATTGGTGGAGAATGTGTTTTGGCGGCCATCTTCTAAAGAGGTTAGAATGGAAAATCCTTAAATAGATATTGGAGCCTGCGTACGAGGATAGCAGACACCGCGCCACCGTGCATCTACTGCTTTCAGCGAAACGAGAATAACGAAAACGTCGAGTGTAGACGGGGTGACATGAACAGAACGCGCTATATTTCTAAATAACGCTTTTAAATGCTGGAATTCGATTAATCGGTCTGTAACCTATGCAGAATCAAAGTTAGTGCCGTAAATTGAAAATCTGTGCAGTTAGTTTTGATTTATTATTAGAACTAACAATACAGTGCGACACCGAATGTTTCAGTTTGATGGCGCTATGGCCGCTAATACAGGGAAATCATAATTTGCCTTAACCTCATTTGTGTATTTTGATGTTGTTTACAAATTTTTAAAAACTAGTGGAAGTCTAGTGCGTTGCATAAAGGTTTGTCTGAATCAAGATAGCTATGTAAAATAAACAAGTGAAACCATGGAAAACATTGATGACAGCAAACGACAGTTGGTCACTCATATTTGTTTGAATGTACGAGTATAGTTGCCCATCCAAATAATAATCGCAATGAACGTAAAGCAAGAGCGGCAGGATGAAGCAGAAATTAGAGAATTGGCGGCCAAATTTGTGGAGGCCAACAAGGCTAAAATGGCAATGCCTCAAAGGACCCCTCAACCTCCAGGACAAAGTATGAACATACTCAGTTTCTTAACTAGTGATAAACCTAAGCCCAAGACTGCTGCACCATGTACCCCAACAGAGGCTGATACAAAAAACATAGATGAAGAATCTGTCAAAGGTAGATTTGGTTGGACCCTCATGGGCAAAATGCACATACCTTACATTATACGCTCTGGAGAGAGCTACTGTTCTGTCAGAATGGTAGAGATGAAAGTATTAAACAAATTATTGAATTATCTTCATCAAGACTTGTATAATTGTACTAATATTAGGAGCTACTATATAACTGAGTCTGAAGCAAAATTATTGAATGAGATAAACTTCAAACATTGTGATTATCAATTTGGACGAGAACAATTCACACCAAGGGACCTTATTGTTAGACTATCTGATGCAAATGAGTTTTACCAGTTTTTGGGACATTGTTATGCAAAATTAATGAATACTTCTGATGCTGATAATTTGGACAGATGTGGTTTCATCAGGATAAACAGAGAATCTGTGGTTCCTTACACAGTATACAATGACCAAAAGTATGTACCCTTATTTTACTTTGAAGGTGAAACAGACAATCTGAAGCAACGAGCTGACAAACTAGAAGGTTGGGATCTATCATATTTAAAATTTTGTTGCAAAGTTCAAGGGATAAGGAATGAACTTTTTGCACATGATTCATGTTCGGTTATTAGCCTAAATGACATAAAGAACTATTTTCCCCCAGGGACGGTGTTTGAGGACTACTGGCCAAAAAAAAACTTGGATAGTCAGCTTTTGATCAGTAGAAACTCAAGTCAAACACAAATAGTTCAATGGACAAGGCAACCCATTGCACCTCCAATTCAAGCCCACCCCTCCCCATCTCCAAAACCAGCAACACAAGCAAAAGCTGCCAATTCTGGTCACCTACATAATGTACATGTTTTTTCTAACTTTGGAATATCTGGGGGGCAGCCTATTTACCATACCACAGCACAGCCTAGGACTGCGAGTTCTGCTGTTCGTGCTACTTATCCCTCTGCCTCACGACATCTCAGACCATACTTCACTGGGTCTATGGGAGGCCAGCATCCACCACCTTTGGTTCGTGCAAACTCTGCTGCGTGAGTACCTTAAAACTGTTTCTTTGATCTAGTATCTAGTTGCATGTGGCAAATTATTTCAAAATCAATGAAAAGATAGAAAATAGTAGTTATATTATTATATTCTCAACATTACAATAAATTAATGTATTTATAAGGAATGACAACACTCTTAGTTGTAGTTCTTTCATATTACAATTTTTTATAAAAACACATAAAAACATTGGCAATTTTCTTGACTAATACTGAATCAGGGAAACAGATGCTGTTATACTTTTGCTAATAGCCATATCTTGGTGAAGTATGCTATTATTGGCTGATTACTTTTATATTTTGAGACCTTCTCCTCTAGAGGTTTTCTCATTATTATGGTATTTTACTACATTTAATTTGATTTTGAAATATTGCTGAGAATTCCCTTAATATCTGACATTACTATTAGATACAGCTGATTCAATGCCTGCCTCACAGATTATGCATAGAGAGGGATGCTGCTACTACATGATAGTGTTTAATTAAAATAAAAGATGCTACGTAGATTGATACATAATTTTTCTTCCGCTCATTTTCAAACATCCTAATTTAACAAGTAGCCTGGTGCTTTCAAGCTGTCAAAATAAAGGGATAAATAAATATAATGAAATACATGGTGTAATCTAATTGATGGCTAAAAATACAGGATATGATTCCTTAGACAATTTTAGGAAGAAAAGTTTATATAAACATATGTCCTAAACATTGTAACTTTTAAGCTACAGGGTTTTAAGAAAAAATGCCTTCTTTATCATAACTTTAATACTGTTCTAGATATTTTCATGAAATTTGATATGCACCTACTAAGCACCAATAGGTAAAGTGTTTTTCAACATTTCTACCAGTAGCATCCGTATGGGATGTATACTGGAGATTATTCAAAAATAATATGGCACAACATTGCTTTTTCCGCAAATGAATCGTTTTTGGCATTCTCATTTAATTTGCAACAAATTTGACTTTTTGCCTTTTTTCCATCTGTTGCCCCGTTTTCGCGTAAAAATAAAAATTAAACAAAAACACATCTTACCTAAAAACTACCACATGACACTTTAGCGATTTTGCGATGCATGGGAATTGAAAAAACAAGTTTTGACAATTTCTGTGGATCAAATAAACTAATACTATTCAATTTAATTATCACAAGAATTGTTGAAAATGTTCTCCTTCTGCTAGAATACAGGCTTCAATTCTTCTTCTCATGGATTAGCTAACCCTTTCAAAAATTCCAGTAGTATTTCTAATGCTAAAATGTGCAGGAGGACCATCATGCATGTAGCACATTCCTTCTCTTAATAAAATAGGTACATCCCCGAGCAAACTTGGCAAATCCAGTTATTCTGGAAGGAAGAACAGTCTTATGAGGAAATCTCATAACTATTCCAGCCCACACATTCACGGAAAGCTGCTCCTGATGATGTGCCTCCGTAATTACGTATGGGTTTTCCTTGGCCCGTACATGATTATTATGGAAATTCCGAATGGAATTGCGGAAAAAACTAGCTTCATCAGTAAAGAGTCTTTTGGTATCAAATAAATGGTCGGCAGCAAGTTTTTCTAGACATCATCAGTAGAATTTTAAATGCAGTGGAAAATCACGCGGCAGTAGTGCTTGCTTGGACCATTTGAATATGATAGGAGTAGAAAGTAGATAGAAAATGGGAAACATTAAGCATTACTGTAATTTCTAGTACCTACTACTTGTTTCTGGATGTTCCTCAATAGTAATTAAAGCAGCTTCCTCTAATTGTGGTGTTCTCACCCTGTGATGTGCCCCTTTGGAACTAAAAAAGTGTTGTTTTTTTTTTGAAAAAAAAGCAGTGACATCCTATATTTTTTTTGGAAAAATCTCTAGTATACATCCCGTACGGACGCCACTGTTTGAAATATTGAAAGATATTCTACATCAAAAAACGCCTATTGGTGCTTAGTAGGTGCATGCCAAATTCACGAAAACAGTATTAAAGTTACGATATACCCTGTAGCTCAAAAGTTAAAATGTTTAGGATATACCTAAGTTCACATGAACTTTTCTTCCTAAAATGAGCCAAGAAATCATACCCTGTATTTTTAGCCATCAATTAAATTACACCCTGTAGTCATAAAATAGACTGTATTTACTCATAGACGATAATTATTGCTGATTTGGAGTCTTTTTCTCAATCATCCTGTATAAGTTCATTGTCTTATTAAGTTTCTAGTTTACAATCATAATCAACCAAATATGTGATTGTGATGTTCAAGGATGGCCCAATACAATGCACAGAATAAGGCTGCTGGGAACTACATGATACTGGATAACATGAACCAGCAAAACAGTTATCACCAAGCATCACAATCAAACTACCCTCCACCACTGCTTCACATGAATGGTGGAATATCTCGATATGAAGGACCACAAACCAGGTGAGTCACCTCATTCATTAGTAAATCTTGTGAAATACCTTTCTTCACTTCTATAAAAAAACGTGGATATAGCTAGGTCGGTTCTGAATGAATTTTTCCTAAGGAAGGATACCACAGAGGCAATTGAAGGAATTGATCCCGATGGCTTTGATCCTGATTATTTCGACTCTGATTCCGGTGGTTTAGATTCCGATCCTTAAAAACGTGGTAAAACAATTAATGATGTAAAATTAAGCAAACTGTAACACATTTCAAGCAGCTAAATAGACTTTAACGCAAACAATGTCAAGGCAAATTGTAAATTACTCCTCCGCCATTAGACTGAGTGATCCCTTCAAAACCGAACATTAATTCCGAAAATGGACCAAGTTCAAAATTGATGCTAGTGATCAACGCAAAAATGTGCAAGGCTAACTTGCGATAAGTACTTGGCCTCACCGGCAGATGGCGCTACTATAGCAAAAGACAAAATTACTATCGTGTAGTACATTCTCGCAGTCGGCTACTGTCAAAATTTGAGCCGAATCGGATTCGTAATCCGCGGATTTTAGATATACGGAAAAGAGCAATATCGGTCGGTGACTCGATTCATGTATTTGGAAGTAAAATCGCGCAGCGAAATCAAAGAGCGCATGGACCCTGTGTACTGTGACTTCTTCGATGGCGACCGTCAAAAATTGGTTTAACTAGTTTCGGCGTAGTCGCTCGTCGGTTTTTGATGAGCCACGCCCAAACAGCGACCACCGAGGATAACGTGACAAAAATCCACGATCTCGTATTGACAGCCCGCCGATTGAAGGTGCGCATGATAGCTGAGACAGTCAAGACATCTCAAAAGACCGCGAGGATTATATTCTGCAATATTGGACATGAGAAAGCTGTCTGCGCGATGATTGACGCGTTAACTCACTCAAAAAATTTTCGTTTTTCTATTGTAGGCTAAGCACTTATTGGGCCGCCCTCGTATAGCACATTGGAAATGATATAAAAGTATCTAAAGGCCCCAATCAATATAACTAAGAAAGCGTGGGAGACGTCGCCAGATCCCGTGATACTTTGGAAGATATGGCAACACTGCCACCGCTTCATTTCCCCCCTTTTTACTTTCCATGCCTACTGGGAAAGAAGTATTGTAATCGCAAAAAATCGAAAATGAAAATGTTTTTTGACGTTTGGTTTAGAGATTAAATAATAATTAGCGATAATCTTTTTAACTTTGATTTCCAGTAAATTACGCACATTTGAATGAAAACTATTGAAATTGTTTTAACAGTATATGGAGTAGTTTTCTATATGAAACTGAAGTTACACTTATCTGGGATAAGATCTTCTAGTCATGTGATTATGTTTATTTGTAGCATCGTCAAACAGATCTCTGTTTTTAAAAACAAACATAAAAGCGTCTAATATATAAAGAGAAACAACAGGTAGAATTTTTTTACTGATGAAGATTTCTTTGCAGCTTTCCATTTGATTGATTTTAAATGGGGTCCTTATGCATTTTTTTTTTTTGAAGAATCAAAACTCTGTTTATATCCCGCGAGATGCCCCAGAAGATCAGAATATATATAATCCTTGACTGAACAAACGCGTGGTATGCCGATAGGACATCGTCGAGACCAACATCATTCCTAATCACTCTCAATGCATAGCAATACCTAGAGACACCCAGTGCAGCATCCTCAACGTGCGCCCCCCAGTCCAGTCGCCTGTCAATCCTAACAGCTTTCTGCTGTCCCAATATCTGTATTTTCTATAAGAAAAAGAGAGAGCAGCATCCGTTCTATTTCCAAATAAAATACACTGCGCTTTTGGCATATTAAGACAGAGATCATGTGCGAAAAATACTCTTGAAGTACGTATCATGGTTTTCTTTACTAAAAATTAATGTTGTACCAGCATAACCGCGACCCCAGGTGATGATGCGGTAAGGTGCACCCCTGCGTACGCACGTGATCTAGATGGCTATAAACTACTGGGTGCGCCATCTATTACTTTTCGCTACCTATAAGTTTATGTGTTACCATGTGAGTCAAAAGTCATGTGGTATGCATAAATTAACTGTCAAAGGTATGCCATTTATAGTCATGGATTCGTTTACAACACAACAACGCATTTTGGTTATCCACACTTATTACGAAAACGGTCAAAATATAAAAAATACTTTTCGCAAACTTCGCATTAGTTTTGGCCGACATGGACGCCCTACAGTACCTGGAATTCGTTGGATTGTTAATCGTTTTGATGAAACTGGTTCAGCTGAAGGTCGTAGACCATACCAACATGCTCGTCCAGCTCGTACTCGAGAAAACATAGCCGCAGTGAGTGAAAGTGTGCGAGAAGATCCAACCACCTCGACTAGGCACCGTTCGCAACAATTGGGAATTAGGGAGACCACTTTACGCCGGATTTTACACATTGATTTACACCTCCATCCATACAAAATGCAACTTACACAAGAATTGAAGCCGGCAGACCATCAACAGCGGCGTGTTTTTGTTAATTGGATGCTAGAAAGAGAAGACGGATTTTCGGCCAAAGTGCTCTTTTTTGATCAGGCTCATTTTCACCTCAATGGGTACGTAAATAAGCAAAATTACAGATTCTGGGGGGCTGAAAATCCACACCAATATCATGAACAACCTCTCCATCCTGAAAAAGTGACTGTTTGGTGCGGATTATGGGCTGGTGGCATCGTTGGACCATTCTTCTTTGAAGATGCCGAACAAAAGGCCATTACCGTCAACGGGGAACGTTATCGCGCCATGTTAACAGACTTTTTGTGGCCACAATGGGTGAACACGATCTTTGGTTTCATCAAGACGGAGCAACGGCTCACACATCTCGCCAAACAATCGTCTTATTGCACACGAAATTTCAAGACCGCATAATTTCACGAACTTCAGATGTCAGTGGGCTCCCGAGGTCGTGCGATTTAACACCTCTTGACTATTTTCTTTGGGGATTTTTGAAAGAAAAAGTGTATGCGAATGGTCCCCGGACAATTCAAGACCTAAAGCGCAATATTCGGACTGAAATTGCGGCCATAGACCCGATTATTCTGGGAAAAGTCATTGAACATTTTGATGTTCGGATGTTGGCCTGTAAACGAAGCCGCGGCGGTCACATGACTGATATTATTTTTCATACATAAATGGCATAAACCAACCTTCATTTATCAATAAAAAAATTCGATTTCACCTCGTAAAAAGCGTGTTGATTTTTCAAATCGAAAAAAAGTAATAGATGACGCATCCTGTATATCTTATAGGTCGTAACGTAATCTATAAGTTCGTCACTCAATGCTTACTCTTCGAATTCACGTGCTAAGCGACCGTAAAGCCATCTTAACATCTTAATATTGATATCGGCATTTTTAAAACAGTTAATGTATGTATATGCGGATATATTCGAGAAAACGCACGAAACTGCACATTCTTCTTCGGTTTCAAACAAGTGTCTAGAATCCAAGGATCATTCTTTTGTGAAAATAAGCGGGACACAAATTTTGTGGGTATATAATTATGTGGAACTTTAGACATAGATGACAACTCGTGTGTTAGACGTTTCAGGTTCTAAATAGGTGTCATAAAAATTTGGTATCTTCTGGTGCAATGAGCTAACCAATGCTCCTGAGGAATACATACAGTAATGGACAAAAGTATATAGACAAATTAATATTGTGCCGTATTTCTTTTTTATTTTGTTTTATTAATACACCAACCTGTCTACATAATTCGTTATAGCATAATACTCACTTATACATAAATAAATTCATTAGACTCCCTTCAATAAAAAATCAATTGAAAAAAACTGGAACTATGAAGGACAAAAATATATAGACAAAGCAAAACAGTTATAGAAAAAGAAGCAAAGTTCATTGAATTATAGAAAAAACTAACCATGTTTGTGTTAATATTTTGTAGCATAACCATTATTATCAATCACCGCCTGGCATCGTCTCGGAATAGATTGTAGAAGTTTCTAGATATAAGATTCGTCAATCTGTCTCCACTTTTGCTCTAAAGCGGCAAAAAGTTCATCCTTGTTTGAATACTTTTTATCTCGTATTTGCTTATCTAAATGTTTCCATAGATTTTCAATGGGGTTTATATCGGGAGACTGAGAAGGCCATTTGAGAACTGGTATTTTTTCATCCAGAAAGAATTTCTTTTAGAGATTTGAAGTGTGCTTCGGGTCATTATCTTGCTGGAAGATTGATCTTAAGGGCATATAGGGTAACATGACATGCTTTAGTATGTCTGTGTATACAAACTTATCCATAATGCCATCTATTCTATGTAAAGGTCCCATCCCAAACCCCGAAAAGCACCCCACCAAACCATAACAGACTCGCCTCCATGTTTGACAGAGGGCAAAGTGTACTTGGGGTTTAATCTTTGTCCACTAGGACGTCTAACGTAACACCATCTGATCCAAACATATTGAACTTGGATTCGTCACTGAAACAAATCCTGTTACAGTCACAGATGCTCCAATCAAGATGCAACCGTGCAAATTGTAATCGGTCCTTACGGTTTTTCCTCGAGATTAGCGGCTTCTTACTCGGGCGACGTGCAAATAACTTCAATTCATTTAATCTTCTACTTATAGTTTCAGTAGAAACACAGGCAATTTCTTTTGTCTCCATTTCGGCTTTTATTTGTCTTGGGGTTTTAAATTGATCTTTGGACAAAATTACTTTTATTAATCTAACTGATCTAGCATTTCGTTTTCTAGGCCGACCACTTCACTTAGAGGCTTCCAAGATACCTTTTTGTTTATATGTGTTCAATATTGCCCAAACTGCTGTACGCTTCAGCTTCCAATTTTGTCCAAATGTCGACTTGACGTTGTGGTTCTTTGTATAACTCAATGATCTTAGTTTTCACATCGAAACAAATTTCTGGACCACGCGGCATGGTCTTAAAATCACTCAACTTATTCCACCATACTTGATGAACACAAACTAATCCTCTTCTGACACGAAACTGTACTAAACTAATGTTGAAAAGAATTTGTTTACATATTTTTGTCCCTCATAAAAAACTGCTTATATTCAGACTTCTATTTTGTTCATTGCAGATAATGTAAAAACAAGGAATTTAGTTTTTCTACTAATAACACATTTGTTTATGGAGCAATGAAGTATGAATTCGTTTTCTAAAGGTATTTAGGTAAATATTCATATTTGTCTATATACTTTTGTCCATTACTGTATATTGAACAAAATGGCGTCAAGTAGATTGACTCTATACTTCCTACGCCTTTCGTTGGAGATTTCAGAGAAAAGGGATGAGTCAAGTCGTTTCAAAAGGCGAAATCGAATTTTCAACCCCTCAAAACAGTGGCTGAAAATGAGCAGGAATCTTCCAGCAATTTCATTTCCGCCGCCTCTGAATCAAAATCTACTACTACCTAAACCATGGAAGTATTAGATGCGCGATAATATTCGAACTCCACTTCACAATTTTTTTGTTTCTTAAATATACTCAGTGAGATTAGAAGTGTTACATCCAGAAAAAATAATTTCTTCAACTCATTTGAAGAATCCTGTGGCAACAATGTCAACGTTTTATCTTTGTTTTTGTTTACCTTTGTGAAAATGTTCTCTTAGTTTTTGTGAAGAAAGCAGTTTCTGAGAGCTGAGTAGTACAGATATTTTTGGTAATTGCTAGTAGAGATGATCAAAGTTGCGATTTAGTGATCGCAGTTAAAACTGTGGGACTGTGTTATTTCATTATTTCCCTTCTATAAAAGGTTAATTACATATTTAACTGTTATGTGTTAACAACAACTGTTATCACAAAAAATGAAATAACATTGTATTTGTGTTATAAAGGTTAATAGAAATGATAATACCTTTTTTAAATCTTATAATTCCAAATTTGTAGATTTTATTAAAAATGAAAACAAATGTCTATTATAATAGTGCATCTTCATTACGTCGATTTCGGAAAAAAAATCCACAAATAACTTACTTTCCTCTATTTAAACATTGTTGAAACTGAATAAACTAATACTGGCTAGTCAAACAAAAATTACCAATCCTAACAATTCGCATTCGCAGCTCGCAACAGTCACAACTCACAACCACATAAAAGCAACGCCATCCGCTATATTTTTTTGATATTCAGGGTAGCCCAAAAGTGAAAGCAGACAAAACATTTTTTGATGGAAAATTCTTTTAATTATTGTATTTTGAGATTCTCCTTAGATATACTTTTAAACATTTTTTATGTGTTAGCCTCCATGCCTGAATTCAACCTTTTTTATTTATTTATCAACGAGCGACTGCCCAATTAAAGTACAGCATAGAAAATCTAATGTAAACCTAACTCTACTTTGACTTAGATATTTAACACTTAGAACGATCACAAACACTTTACAATCCAGATCATTTCTAAATTGAAACGAATTTAATTAAAATTCAAATATATGGGGAAATCTAATATTAAATATCACAGACAGGAATCTAATTGAATTTTGAATGTGTTCTGACTTCTGAAGAAATCCAACTTATTAGAATACTGATTTGCTAACCTTGAAGATCTAGACAGGAAGGAATTACTAGCATAATTAGTACGAAATGATCTCACATGGAATGCTTGATTCAGTCTTGTTTGAGGAGAAGGCACATGGAGATTAATATTTTTCAAAAGTTCTGGAGCAAAACTAAGAGAGTGCAAAATATTATAAAATAGTGACAGGTCCCTCTGATTCTGTATTACCTGAAGGGTTGAGATATTGAGAGAGCTTTCAATGACGGAATAGATAATATCTTCAGCCATAATGTTTTGTTTGAATGAAATGAATCTTAAGAATTTAGGTTGCACTCTCTCAATTGCCTGAATATGAACATTATAGTTGGGTGACCAAACACAAAAACAATACTCCAAATGGGGCCTCACCAAAGAACAAAACAACGTTTTAAATGACTGAATATTATGAAAATCCTTAGCACATCCTTTTATAAATCCCAACAGTTGAAGAGATTTAGAAACAATCATATTTATATGGGTAATAAAGGATAATTTTGGGCCCGGAATTACCCCTAAATCCCTAAATTGGGATACACTCTTTAGAGGACAACCTTTCAGATATAAGTATGATCAATGGGGTCGCTGTTACGACTGAAGATCATTAAATGACATTTTTCCACATTAAGTTCCATTCTATTCATTTGACACCAGAGACTTAATGAATTAAAATCACTTTGGATATATAAACAATCATTATTATATTTGATTTTTAAGAATAATTTCAAATCATCTGCAAACATTAGAAAACTAACAGACTTAAAACAGTATATAATATCATTCCGGTATATATTGAAAAGAAGAGGGCCCTGATGGAAACCTTGAGGTACTCCAGATGGCACATTAATCTCATTTGATTGAATAGATGGCTGAGATTGGAATTTCGTAGATAAACAAATTGATATATTGAGGTTAGAAATCAGCCTTTCGTCATATGCGACACCCTGTAAAATCTAAGGGATGATTAACCAGCAAAATGCCTGTTAGGTTTTACGATCTGTTCTAATATGAACACTACTTAACAGGAAATGTATCACACAGGGCCTAGAACATGAAAAAAAGATGATTTTCTAAGCTCAATAGCTGAAACTCAGATTTATTTCTAAGTATTTTTTTATTGAGACAAAAAAATTATGAACCAAAAAAAGCTTTATTTAAAAGAATATAGAACCAACAAAACAATAGTAACTGCTTGAAAATGATTGCTTCACGTTTATTTCTTTCGTCGCAGATTGGTGTATGGTAAATTATTGTAGTAGCTACTAGTTTCGGTGACGATCAGTGGACGTTCATCTTTTTTTCATACAACAGCTGTGACATTCATCTTTTTCCCTGCACGGCAACTTTTAATTGGGTTCAACTAAGAACTGTCATTGTCTTTGCGTGTTTCCGATACCTCATGGGATTGTTGCCGTTTCTAACTACAAAAAATCAAATTTGTGACATTCATCTTTTTTCCCCTGTACCCTTCATTTAAGGATCATAAACATATATGTATGCATAGTTATTCTGAATTATGAGCACATTATATACATTGAACCTTCAGCATTTAATTTTCATGTTGTTACCAGGTTCAGAAGCTTCTTAATAGAACGTCTTTGACTAATACTAAATATGTAACATTTACAACCCCCAACCCCCCACGTTCAACCCCTACAAAATTTTTTCCGAAAATGATCAGATACCTCTGTAACGTTAAAGAACGAAGTTTTTGCGATTTGTTTTTGTGTTTTGCCCCTCACTTCACTGCCATTGGAGCGATTTTCAAAAACTAATAGCTTTTTCTTCTTTGGCATAGTAATAACCTCGTGTGAAAATTTCATCAAAATCCGAGAGGTACTTTCCAAGTTATAAAGGGATCAAGGATGAGCGGACAGACAGACCGACGGAATGAGATGGTTTTTTGTGATGTCATAAAACATTTAAGGAACGTAATATCTTAGTATTTTTTGGCGTTTGCAATACTTCCTCGCCAGTTGTCGTAGGGAGTAAAAAGTGGAAACTATTTTTCGAGGTAACTCTTGTACAATAGTAGTTTGTTTGATTGCAGGGAGCTGCAGAACAGTTATGGTGTGAACAGCTCAACTGGGCAGTTGATCAACCAACAGCCTGCACACCAAGCGACGCGCACGCAAGCCGGTACGCCTGCAGGTTCTGCACCTACAGAAGATAGGAACAGCATTACAAATGGACGGCCGATGGTCAATAGTGTCATTTCACGGTATTATACATATTTTTCACTACTTTTTATCATTTTGTATCAGATTACTCGCCGTTTGCAAAGAAGGAAGTCATCGTTGAGATTCGAAATTATGAGCTTTTGTATTCACATTTTTTTAAGTAACACTACTTCTCTTATCTGTTTGATTTAATTTATTTGATGCGAATGTTTTATATATATATACAAGTATATAGAGAGAGACAGAAAGAGACCTTTTGCAGATTTTGCTCATTATTTTCCTATTTTTGTTATATGTATATATATACATATACAGGGTGTCCCGAAAAAAGTGTGCAATATTCTACCAGCGGTTTCTAGAGCTTAAAATAGGAAGAAAAGTTTATATAAACATAGGTCGACAAACGTCCGCTAAGGGCGCTACGGTCTTTTAAAGGGGCTCCCCTGAAGATGGTTTTTCCTTAATATTTCCGAAACGTGTTGAGATAAAGACATAAAATTTGGTATTCTAGCCTAGTTTTTTATGCTGGATTTATAAATATTAACAATTTTAGACAGTTTTGTTTGGAAGCGTATGTAACAGGGACGGACTCAGGTTATTTTAGCCCCATAATTTTTGTGTGATTCTATTTTTGAAATTCAATTTTAGAATTTGAAAATTTAGGGTTTTCTACATAAAAAAGGTACTCTTATTGAATATCGATAAATTGTGCCATTTTTGAATATCAAACTAAAAAAATTGTCACATGATAGGAAATGTACTGCGAATTTAAATGAATTGTGGATTATAGATAGTTAGCCATGACTGCAAACAAACGTTCTTTTGATTTGTTATGACTTATTTTGACGTTAAGCTGACATTGTTAGCAGTGTAAAATTACTAGATTAAAATTAAAATTTTTATTAAATCGATTTAAAATGTCAAGATTTACAGACAGAGAACTGACTGACATGCATTTTGTGTACGGGTTTTGCAATGGCAGTTTATTGGCAGCCGTAAGCGAATATCCCAATTGCATAGTACCTGGACGTCGAATGTGTACTGATATTCACCGGAATTTGTCAACCCATGGAAGTTTTCAGCGCATGCAGGGCTCAGGGAGGCCACTGGGAAATCGTCGTATGGATATTGCTTTAAATATGTTTGAAAATAAACCGCAAATAAGCATGTTTCAGAAATTATGGATATACCTCGATCAATAGTAAGAACAATTTATGAATACCTATTTGATCCTTATCCTAAAAATAATAATTTTTGATAGGAAGAATGACAAGAATGCAAGGATTACATCCTTATCATTTTAAACGGGTGCAGCATGTATCGGAGGCAGATTTTTTACCACGAAGTTTTGCCAGTGGATATTAGCAAATGAAAACACTATTCCTAGAATATTATGGTCGGATGAGTCAATATTTGCCAGGAATGGTGCTTTTAATTTCCATATCATGCATCACTGGTCAGATGAAAATCCAAAAGTTGATCGCCGTACAAATTTCCAACATAGATTTTCGTTGAACTTATGGGCAGGAGTAATTCTGGATCAAGTAATTGGGCCTATTGTACTTCCCAATCATCTTAATTCAGAGGTGTATCTGAACTTTCTTCAGAATGAGCTCATGGATATAATACCATTGGATGTGCGCCAGCAGTTTCAAGAAAATATGTTTTTTCAACATGATGGCGCCCCTGCACATTTTGGACGCAATGTTCGAAATTGGTTGAATGTCAATTTTCCAGACAGGTGGTTAGGCCGAGGAGGTCCTATAGCGTGGCCGCCACATTCACCTGACCTAAATCCATTGGATTTCTATTTTTGGGGTTCATTAAAAGACCTAGTTTACTCGACTGAAGTAAATACTCAAGAAGATTTACTTCAAAGAATCCATCAGGCTGCAAATGAAATAAGCAGAAAAAGGTTTTCCACTTTTCATTAGTTCGTCGAGCGAGTCTCTGTATCCAACAAAATGGGAATTTATTTGAACACTTATTGTAAAGCTAGTTTTAAGTATATCTTCTTTTTTAAACAAATTTCAATTTCGTTCGTAGAAAAAAATTATTTCTTTTGTTTTTGCCTAAATGTTTGCTATGTTGCAATAGAAATATGTATTTATGTAATATTTACCAATTATTAAATTAGTTTTTTCGTTGCCATGGCTAATTATTCAACAATTCATTTAAATTCGCAGTGCATTTCCTATCATGTGACAAATTTTTTAGTTTGATTTTATTAAAAAATGGCACAATTTATCGATGTTCAATAAGAGTTCCTTTTTTATGTAGAAAACCCTAAATTTTCAAATTATAAAATTGAATTTCAAAAATAGAATCACACAAAAATTTTGGGGCTAAAATAACCCAAGTCCGTCCCTGTTACATAAGCTCCCAAACAAAAAACTGTCTAAAATTGCTAATATTTTTAAATCCAGCATAAAAAACTAGGCTAGAAAACCAAATTTTATGTCTTTATCTCAACACGTTTCGGAAATATTAAGGAAAAACCATTCTCAGGGGAGCCCCTTTAAAAGACCGGAGCGCCCTTAGGGGACGTTTGTCGACCTATGTTTATATAAACTTTTCTTCCTATTTTAAGTTCTAGAAACCGGTGGTAGAATATTGCACACTTTTTTCGGGACACCCTGTATATATATTTATTTATTTATTTATTGTATTCATATTTAATTGCCTTAACTGTTAGGAAAACATATCCTTGAATCGTTGGGTAGAAGCTTTCGATGGTCTATGCCATCATCGTCTGGAGCTAAAAAACAATTTTTGAAAAATAGCAACAATAAACAATTAGGAGGAAAAAATATAATTACTTACTATGTCGGCGAGATTTTTGCTGAAATTGGTCTTAAACGATAATGAAAGGGAACACATAGTCGACGAACAAAAACTGGACCGATGAGGTTCGATCAGGGCGGTATTATTTTATTAATATATGGCAAAGTACAGCTATGTTTTTTTTATTTAAAACACTGATTGATTTGGAAGAACTTGAAAATCTATCAATTATTCAGTTCAAGTTATAAGAGTGCACTTATGCAAAACTTTGCCTTCTACCCAAAGAAATTCAAGGATATATATATATATAGAGAGAGAGAGAGAGAGAGATTTTGCTCATTATTTTCCTATTTTTTGTTATATGTATGTGTATATATGTCGGCGTCAAACGCTGAAATCCGTCATTCCCTGAAATGCCTAGTCAGTCCCCGTATTGCCGGCAAACACCGTAACAGTTTGATTATTACAACGTTTGACTAAGCATTTCAGTTATTCCCTGTAATGACTGTACAATTTCAGTCAAACACCGTAACAACCACATTAACTTCGTTACTCCATTTGCCTGATTCAGTCATTCATTATACCAGTTTTGTGTATATTTGCTTGAGTATACACATCGTCTTTTCTGTGTTTGTAAAGATGTCGCAGCATTCAGAATTGTTTTATAAGAAACTATGACATTGTGAATAACAAAACACCATGGAATACAAATCAGTTAAAGAAGGCAAGTTATTTTTTATAATTTTGTGAACTTAACCTAAATTATAACGTACATATATATGCTTGCTCAACAGCAGCATCCATTGTTAATATATTTCGTATATAAATACTTGATTAAAAAAACAATAATGTAATAATAAAGACAACGTTTCAATCTATTCTTCTTTCCTTTTAGATTAATTCATGCTTGATTATTTTTCTTTTATTACTATTATTGATAAAGTAGTACCTTGTTATATTATGTATTTCATCGGAGCAACACTGCATTGATTACAGCGTTTGACTAAAATAGGCGAATGCAGTAACGGAGTTAATGTGGTTGTTACGGTGTTTGTCGGCAATACAGGAACTGGCTAGGCATTTCAGGGAATGACGGATTTAAGCGCTTGATGCCAACATATATATTGTCAAAAAACATTCTCCACTTCAAAGAATTGGGGTCATGTCATGGGAAATGTAGGGTGTGTGATGGTAAGACGGTGGTAGTGTCCTTTATCGAACGATAGCTGAACTAAAAAGTCGGTTACTAGAATGGCTGACGATGCATCAGCTCTTCCACATGACATGAACATCACATCGAGTGATATCACGTCGAGCATTCTTTCACGTAGGAGGTAATCTTTCCTACCTCCACGGTGAATTTGCTTATTTATTTTTTACTAACGGGAGCACAAAATATGCACCTGCTTCGGCGCAAATTCGATCAGTGAGAGTTTTTGAAGTTATGCATCTAATGAATATGGTCGGTTTCTTGTACGAGGGATGTCTTTTAAGTTTTGCATATGGAAATAAAACAACACGGTAAGTAGTTTTAACACATTGACTGCGAACTGGGATGAGGATACCCACCTCAGAAACTGAAATACTTTTTTCCTTTTTTTGGAAGCCGGCAGAGAGCGTCGAAAGACGCCGTTCGCCTCCCACCACAGGAGCGTCTTTTGACGCTGTTCGCACTGAACGTGTTAAATGACGTATTCTCCACGAAAATTAATACACAGCTGCATGCGCTCGAACCAATTTTCGAAGCACTTATTCCACTCGTTTGCTGGCAGATCCAAAACGGCATTTTTGAATGCGTCAACTGCTCCTTCTGGTGACGGGAACCTTTGACCACCCAGTCTGTTTTTAGTTTTCGGGAAAGTAAAGAAATCGTTAGGACTTAGATCGGGACTATATGGAGGATGGTCCAATAATTCCACGTTTTCTTCAGTTAAATACTGCCTTGTTTTTTGGGCTGTGTGCGAGCTTGCATTGTCTTGGTGGAGCATTTTTCTTCTTTCGGGGTTGATTTTTCGAAGCTCGGTGATGACTTTTGGCAAACAAATGGTGGTATACCAATCCGCAAAAACAGTTCTTTGCTCATTACGAGAAATTGTTGCAATATGACCCGCTTTTGACACAAATTTCGCGACCATCTTTTTCGAAACACTTCGAGAACGGATGACTTTTTTTTTGCTTTTCTTCACCTTGGAACACCCAAACAGCCGACTGTCGTTTATTTTCTGGTTCATAACAGTAAATCCACGATTCATCACCACTAACAATGCTGTACACGTTTTTTAGTTTCCGGAATTGAAACGGTCAAGCGTTTTTTGACACCAACTAACCCTGGCTGCTTTCTGCTCTTCAGTCAACAGGTGGGGTATCCAACGAGAAACTAATTTAAGTCTTCATGTACATTTTTTTGAATTGAGGTCTTTGAGATCTTTAAGGACGCCCCAATCTCTTGATATGTCACGTATCTATCTTCAATGATG